TTGCCTGTGCTTTTACGGAGACTCATCACAAGCTCCATCTCCCCCCCCCACCCCTTCCACCAAAACATCCACATCCACATCCACGCCCACCCTCCCCATGGCCACGCTCAACACCTCTAGCAACGGCCCCAATATCACCAGGAGCTACCAGAATGTCGTCAATGCTCCGCCGCCATCCGGTCCCCAGGCTGCCTCGCCCACATACGCTCAGTGGGCCGTCTTCACAGTCGCTGCCCCGCTCGTCAGCGCATTCCAGCACGATGGCGGAAAAGAGAGCGTACTAAAGGTCCAAAGCACTGGCGGTACGTCAAATCACCTTTGCATCGCCCAATGGCCTTGCACTCAAGAGCATAGCACCATACAGTCAGGCTGTGAAGCCGAGGAAGCGCACCATGCCGTGTGTCAGCCCAATCTCGGGACTCGGCACAACAGCTCGCGCTGGCGAATGCTATATCGGACAATAGCAGGAAAAGGCATGCTGACTGGTCTGCAGAGGGCGAATTGCTAGATCTCGTAGACGAGTTTTCAGACGGTCGAGTCCAATTTGCATTTGTCAAAGTCAAGGACCCAAATACGTCGCTGCCCAAGAACGTGCTGATCGCATGGGTAAGCGAGCCACCCGGAGAAACAACGGCGTACAAAATACTGATGCTACCTGCAGTGCGGCGAGGGCGTCCCAGAAAGGACAAAAGGCTACTTTGGTAGCCATCTTACCGTCGTTTCCAAGCTTCTCCGTGTGCGTTCTCGGCTCCGAGCACAATATCCTACAAGCGGTAGACTGACACCATCCAATCCAGGGATATCACGTTCAAGTGACCGCACGTTCCGATGCAGACCTTACGCCGGAGAAAATTATTCAAAAGGTAGCTGATGCATCAGGTGCAAAGTACGGTGGCGGCCCAGATATTCCCTCTGGTGGCCCACCACCAGTCGTAGCCAAGAAGCCTGTATTCACACCGACACAATCAAGGGGTGGAGGCTCTGCCTTCAACCCACTTGGCCGCTCCAGGGCACCGGCCCCCAGCGGGGGTGAGGATGCTGACGGCTGGGGTGCGGATGCCCCGCCAGTCTCGCGCTCGCAGCTGGAGAAGGTCTCTTCAGCATACCAACCGACCAAGGTCAACATGGCCGAGCTTACCTCGAACAGAGACGATTCCACCACCGCCCCATCATCTCACAAGGATCGCCCAGAGGTAGTCAGAGGCGCATATCAGCCTGTTGGAAAAGTCGACATAGCTGCGATTCGAGCACAAGCAAAAGATGCCAAGGACGATCGCCCAACCGTGGTGAAGGGCGCATATGAGCCTGTTGGCAAGGTGGACATTGCGGCCATTCGGGCAAAGGCCCAAGCCGGACCTCAGTCCTCCGCCCTACCACCGGCGGCAACGGGAGCGTCCAACAAGGAGGAGGAGGAAGAAAGACCACGATCGCTTGCAGATCGGTCAGCAGCATTCAGCTCACAGCCAGAGCGCCTCACGAGCTTGCCTAAGCCAAAGGTGGCAAACAAATTCGCCGGTGCGAGTACGTTCACGGGCACGAAAGCGCCCACGCCTGGAGGTTTCGGTGCTGCGCCTGCCCCTCCTCCGCCCATCGTGGGCGCAGCTAGCAAGACCTTCGCCGATGAGGGAGGCAAGACACCAGCCCAGATCTGGGCGGAGAAGAAGGCAGCGCGTGGCGAGGCTGTCAAGCCGGTTGCTGATGCTGGCCGTCCGACCCCCTTGCAGAGCCAGCAAAGCGGGGGAGGTGGATGGCAGAGCGGCTACGCAGGCAAATCCTGGGCTCCTGTCCAAACTACCCGAACAGGCCAATCTGCGGCCAGTAATTTGAGCGAGCAAAGAACAGGTTCGCCTCCACGGGAGGAGCCTGCCTCACCACCAGCTGGTGCTGTTGGTTCCTTGAAAGATCGCTTCTCGAGTGCTGCGCCCATGGGTGCACCGTCATCACGCCCCGCGCCAGAACCGCGAGCATCTAGCCCTCCAGCCCTGGACACCTCAAGCAAACCCAATGCTGGAGTCCGAGGTGTCCCAATGCCTGGCCTGCCCACGCGACCCAAGGAGCCAGAGTCGGACGACGAGGACGTGCCCGCCGTCCAGCATCAGCGTATGCCTTCACCACCTCGCCAGCCACGAAGCCCATCTCCAGAGCCGGCTGGATCGCCAGTCCGTCTTGCTATGCCGGTCTCGCGTGGCAAGGAACCAGAAGAGCTTTCGCCAGCGGAAGAGCAAGCACCACCTATGCCCACACGCTCCCTGGACCAGGCAGCACAGCAGACACGTGATCTCTCACCAGAGCCACAGGTTGAAGCCAAGGACCCCTCGCGAGCTGCTGCCGCGGGTGTTGCTGCCGCCACATTCGGTGCGGCCGCAGTCGCTGGGGCCGCGGTCGGCGCTGCAGCAGGATCTGGACAGGAAGAAGAGAGCGGTTCTGGAAAGCGTGCCATTGTTCAATACGACTACGAAAAGGCCGAGGACAACGAGGTCGAGCTCCGTGAAGGCGAGTACGTGACCGATATTGACATGGTAGATGAGGATTGGTGGATGGGCACCAACTCCCAGGGCGAACGCGGTCTTTTCCCAGCCAACTATGTTGAGCTAGTTGAAGGCGATGACAATGGTGCTGCTGCACCACCTCTGCCTTCCCACCCGGCTGCTGCCCAGGAGCCTGAGCCTGAGCCTGCTGCCCAACCGCCACCCAGCGCTGCTGCGAGCTCTGGTCCTACCGCAACAGCCCTCTACGACTACGACGCCGCCGAGGACAATGAACTAAGCTTTCCTGAGAACGCCACTATTACCAATCTGGTAGGATCTTATTCTCGATTGATTCCAAACAGAGTGCTAACATCCGCTTAGGAATTCCCCGACGAGGATTGGTGGCTCGGTAGCTACAATGGCCAATCTGGCCTCTTCCCCGCCAACTATGTCGAATTGAACTCATAAATATTCGTTTAGACATTGATTTCGAGGGTCAACAAGAGAGGGGCGGGCAATAGTTACTTTTCAAGACCATGTATGGATGCGTGGGCTGTGTTGCGCCAACCCGCCCATTGAGTCGTGTGCAAAAATGAATAAGGAAGGGACCGTGAAGGTACAACAATAGTTGTGGGGAAAAAAACTTCGACTGTATGTTTTGATGTAGTTGTTGTTTTGATAGCCTAAGCCAACTTTTATTCACTCACCGTCTGATCTGTCTGTGCTTTGCCTTTCAATGTGACTTGGGACTTGCTTTGGAGCTGGGTTTTGGGCGATGTCGTGGCCTGGGTAGTGTGTGGAGGTTTTATGAGGGGATGGTGGGATGTAGAGGGAACGAAGATTTGGGGGAAGAGGGATGGGGGGGGGGTGTCTGGGTGGATGTAAATGTATCCATGTAGGAATGTGGGAGAAATCTTCTATAGCTTTCTTAGTTGTGGTAACACTGCCGCCCCTTTCTCCCTTGTGTATTCTGTTGCACTTGTTGATTTAGTCTTGGGTAGATTTTATATTGTTCTGTTACTGGGTTGGTTTTGGATTTGGAAGCTTACGCCTTCTTGATGATGTTTCATTCGAGTTCATTTCTACTTTTGATAGGTGGGTATGGTGAAGTTGTGGTTCTTCTACACTTTTGACAGCTGGCCATGGTGAAATTGTGGTTCGCAATAGCCATTTACTGGATAGATAAACCCATCTTACTCCTTCTGTAGGAACAGTATACAGTGTTTTCACCAAGAAATCCCACTAAGACCTTTACTTTACATCGCAGTGATCTCTTTATCCGCTTTACTAACATGGAACTTGGTCGCCTCCAATGGATTATAACTCGAAAAGTAATCATCATAGGCCAAATCCTCTTCTGTAAGATGATTCCCTTTCAAATCAGTAAAGGTGCGGAAGAGCGTGCCAATCACGACATAGAGCTCGCAGTATGCTAGATTCATGCCCACACATGCACGGCTGCCTTTTCCAAACGGAACAAATGCCTTGTCCATGCGCTGGGCTTCGGTTGCATCAGACCAACGATCCGGGTCGAAGACTGTGGGGTTGGGGAAGAAGTCTTGGTCTTGGTGTAGGATCCAGGATGACATGGAGACCACGGTGCCTTCGGGTAGGGTGTAGCCGTTGAAGGTTGCGCCGCCGGGGGGAACAACACGTGGGAGACGGCCTGGGACACCAAAGGAGAGGCGTAGCCCTTCTTTGATAACCATGGTCTAGAACGAGTCAGCACTGGTAGGTATTTGGGGGCGCGTCGAAGCAGTAACATACGAGATAGGGTAATCTCTCCAGAGCGGCGTAGGTCAGCTCGGACTCGGGGTCAGGAAATGCTTCGCATAATTCGGCATGCAAGCGGCGATAGATGTTCGAGTTTTCAACGACGCAGCGGACCATGGTGGTCATTGCATTTCCTGTAGTGTCTGCGGCCGCGGTGATGACCGTGTATGCTTCATCTTCTAGATTGTCGACGGCACCCTTTGAAAAGCCCTCCTTTGGATCCATCAATGCGGAGAAGATGGTCGGACGGTCGTCATCTCTAATCAACCCCGCCTCGCGGTTTGCTTTGACCTCGAGTAGCTGCTTGTGGCAATGATTTTGCATGTCGCGCACTTGCCCGATAGGCTCGCTGATGAGCTTGATGATGGATTCTGGAATGGACATGGCGACTGATTTCAGCCAAGGCCACTGCCGGAAAATCCAAGCAGCAGGTCCGATCTTGTGAACAAGAGTGAAGAACTTGAGACCCAGGTCGGGCTCTTTGAGCAGGTCGTAGCACGACCCGAACGCGTAGTCTGTCACGACGTCGATGGAAATGGCGCGCAGACCATGATGTATATCAAACTCTCCGCCTTTGTCAAACGTCTTCCGCACCAGCGCGATGAGCAGCTCCGTCTTTTCGTGGACAATGTCTTCTAGTTGTAAAACCACTTTCCGCGAGAAGAAGGAATTGAGCCCGCCGCGACGCAGACGATGAAGCTCATTGCTCGCCGTTGTAAAGGAGGAATTTGGATTGCCAAATGCTCCGTAAAAGGCGCCATCCTTGCTAAACTTTGTCCCGACACGATTGATCTTATCGTAGTTGGCTGCATCCGAGAGATGGACTTCGTCGGGGCCAATGCGAACTACTGGGCCATACTGCTCATGCAGCTTTTGTATCTTGATGTAGAATCGACTGCCTCCAACAAAGCAGTACCAAGTTTGATAGAGGAGGGTTACTGCTGCAAGCTTTGGGCCTGGTATTTTGGCAAGAGGGTGGAAGAAGAGACGGCGGACGGTGATTGTGGTATACCAGATGATCCACGAACCAAGCAACCAAGTAAAGAGCAATAATGGACTGATGTTCATGATGAGATGCATCATTCTGGCTTCTCTGCTTGAAAGAAAACTTTTTTTTTACTTCTTCCGTTGTGGAGAAGAAATGAGGGATCGAGAGAAGGCTAAAAGCGACAGACACGGCTCATACTCCCTCTTCCCTCCTACTGTACGCATGGAATCTACAACGATTGTAATGGCTACATTGTAGATCTGTGCTCTCTGGAGAAACCTGGATATGCGACATCTAGTGCTTCCCTGTGCAGGTCAGCCCACGACGTCATTTCTCACCGCTGTACTCCCCACGACAAAGGATTCTTTAGGCCGATTCCTTCAAACAGTATACCAGTCCAACAAAACCCGGCGCATCAACAAGATTCAGTGTATTTCCGGTAGAGGAAGACGTTACCTAACTCCCAGCTAGTTCCCCGCGTCAGCACAACAAGCTTCAGAGGATCATCCGGAGACCCCACGCTGCATCCCCGCGTCACTAGCCTTGTCACTAACTTAATAGAGGCATTCTTAACTAAACGAATGGTTCCCATTGCTTACCTGGACTACATACGCCTTGTCTGCAGCCGTCGCGTCATTACCGTCAGCAACTGGCTCAGCATATCTCAACGAGGTGACACACAGGTACAGTCGAGCTTGCCCCAAGTGTTAGGCCTCTCAACACCACAAGACCTTAGCATCTGTGCTTGCAGGCCGTCACACCGCCAAACTCCTTAATGTAAGACCCTGCATGACATTTTTCTAGTGCTTAGCACACTGCCTGTTATTACCGTGGTATGGCCATGATCGATTTGGAAAGTTTGGGGAGCGTCTCGGAACGCCCGATCTCATTGTAAGCGATGGGGCGATTGAGTGTGTTTTGTGTCACTCCTTGCATTTTAGAAAAACCAGGTTTGAGGTTTGAAGAGGTGTACAAAGCGTGTCTGGTTACACAAGACATGCAAGTTACAGTGAAAGTGTCGGGATTAAGCGGTCTGACAATGAATTTCCTGGGGATATTGGGTCAGCTTTGCGGGGTGTTAGCTAGGCCCAAGGTATGTCACTGAGCAAGATTCTGATATACGCAAAATATTCTTACTGAAGAGACTGTACCTCTCACTGTATCTGACAATTGCCATTGAGATTTTTGCTCCAGTTTCCATCTCAGACTTGGGTTGATTTCGAATTTTTTGTGTCAAAGTTTTTACGACTAGTACTCTGGCTAAGATGATATCCAGAATTCCAGCTCCCATTGTGCTTGATACTACCCTACGAGATCTCTATGCCTCTGCTGGCGATGACGAAAACATCATTCTTGTCTATGCCGTCCCTACCGCCGATATACAAATGTCTGCGGGCGTACCAATTTCCCGAAAGTTCAGCTACCAGTCTCCAGCATGCCCTACGAAAGACAGTGACATCTTGGCCCGCGAGTTCCTGCAACTGGTACCGCAGCTCTTTGGCTTCATTGCTGGCAAGATGCCTTTGATCCTGTTCGATCTCGACCCAGATCAGGATGAGACCAGTTCTTCAGATCCCTCCTCTCAACGATCGCACCGGATGGACGCCTACAACGTGTTTGATCGTCTCGATCCTTCCCAGAGACCGTTTCTGGACTTCGTCCCTTCTGCAGAATCGATTCCCCTTGAATCTACTTCACGTCTCGCAATCATCAACCCAATGGATTGCCTTCTCCCTTATCCGCACCTAGTATCTCCGGAAGCGCACTACACTGCACTCTCCAAACGCGCACTTGCCAAGTCGCCACTCCCTACTCCTACCACTCTGGTTATCGACACTATCTTAGGCCCTGCTCAAACTTCTGACGCAGAACTCCTGGTCTTCGAAGCTGAGAGAATGCTCAAACCTCTGACGACTCATGCGCTGCCTTTTGTGGCGAAGCTTCCACAAGCCCTTTCAGGACAAGGTGTCTTCCTCATCCGTACAGAAGAAGAGCGAGCCGCGGCGCTTGCAGTGCTGCAACCGGAAACATTGCGTATGCTGCGAGGTATGAATGAGGAGAATGCCCATCTCGACACCTGCTGCATACTAGCGCAGGATCTCCTCCCAGGAGACGCCGTTGCACTCTCGCTATTTATCACGAAAGACGGGAAAGCTGTGTTCAACGCTTGCTGTACCCAGCTTGTGGATTCAGAGGGAAACTGGGGTGGAGGCTCTCTGGATTACCGCGAGCAAGACCAGCTGAGAGAAAAATACAGAAGCATCATGGCGCAATTAGCATCCTACGTGCATACTTTGGGCTACTGGGGGCCCATGGGCGCCGACATCATGACCGACGAGGAAGGACATCAACTCGTAATTGACATGAACATCCGAGTAACAGGAAGCCACCCGCTCGGGGCGCTCCGGGGACACTTCACACGCCTAGGCTTGAACGTAGCGGTACTGCTGTTTCCATTGCTGCTCCGACTGACGAAAGATCAGTTTGAGCGGGAATTCGAGGAGGAGCTGCATTCGGGAAGTCTGGTGGTGAATGCTTGGGTGCATATGCGCGATAGGAAAACTAGTATGACGACGATTACGCTTGCGGCTGGTGGCAAGGAGAGCCTTGATGAGTTTTTGGCTCGGGTAAATGTGTTCAAGATTGAAATGCATTAGACGTGGTTACATGAATAGTATCCTTTTTGGTTCGTCCCTAGCTACATGTAAACGGCTCAGCCTGTGTCTTTTTGATTATCGACTTTGTTGGCATGGCAAAGAACTGTGGCCACGTAAAGATGGCCATCTACGTATGCAGTTGTTCAGAGGATATTACTATGACGAGCCCTCGGCGTCTGATAGGAGATAACTTTTCACAACACACGGCTCCTACAAAAGTTTGGTTGAGAAGTGGAAGAAGACCCAGATAGATGGCGACGATGCAAAATCACCTCAACTATCTGATTAGATTCCTTTTGATGAGGACCACTGGCTCCTCAATCAAACAACTACTAACTAATCCGCTTGTCGTACATTGCTCGATGTTTGACGGGCTGTTGCTTTTTCCTTGTCTTGGTCTTGCCTCCGCAGACTCCACCACACGAATGCTTGACACATGGCCCCGACCATCATGCAGCTTCCGATCAGCACTTGCATCTTCCAGTACTCCCCTGTGGCTGAATCGATCAGCTTACTGCTCACCGGTGCACCAAACACTACTCCCAATGCTGCAGCCGCTGACGCCATCCCCATACGCGTCCCAACGACATGCTTTGTCGGGCACAACAGTGGAATGATGGCTGGATAAAACACAGCCAGTGGTGCCATGATCAACCCGAGAAACACAACCCATGCCTCAAAGCCCGGTAATGAGTTCACCGCCATCCATGCATAAAGCAGGATACTAGAAACAAAGGCAAACCCGAACATGCCGCCGGCAACTCCGGCATACTTGATGATGAAGACGGCGAAGAGGCGCCCAGGAATGGTTGCTGCATTAGTGATGACAAGTAGATAAAAGGACCAGGTTGAGGTGGCATTCAGGCCGAACTCCGCGTAGGTAGGGATGAAGAAGAAGGGTACCCAGTACGCGATCCACATGAAGAATAGGGCGACACAGAACATGCCAAAGGCCGGCTCAGTAAGCGCTCGAGGCTCGAATAGAGCACGTGGTGGCCCAGTCTTGTTTGTAATGGCCGGTTTGGCGTTGGGAAGAATGATGGCAAGTGCAATGATGAGCTCTGCCAGCGTGATGAAGCCAAGGACACGAGTCGCCCAGGCGAAGCCGATGGAGGGTTGTAAACGCACGAATATGATGGGGTAAATGATACCCCCAACCGCAGTGCCAGAAGTGGCAAAGCAAACGGCCAGGGCCCGGTGTTTGGTGAATGCCATGGCGACGAGAGTTATGCTCGGAGTGTAGAGTATGCCAGATCCAATGCCGATACACCATCCCTGTGCTAGCATGATTTGCCAGTACTTGGTGCAGAGAGAAAGCATCATGACACCGAAGACGGTCAGCACCGTGCCAACGTAGAGCAGCGATCGAATGTGGCCCCGGTCATAGATTGGGCCTGATATGACGCCGCTGATGATCAGGAGCACGCCTTCAACGGTTCCTACCCAAGCAATGTTGTCCGTGGCAACATCAGGAAGGGTATGTTCGTAGTAACTCTGGTATGATCCATAAGCACTTAGCAGGCCCCAGGTCGCGGTGTACACGAGGAAGGATCCAAGGGCTTGCATCCAGGCGGCGAGGCCATCCTCTACAATCGATTGGTTCTCCTGCTGTGCAACGGGCGTTTCCACAGTTAGTGGTTCTTCATTTTCTTTGACGTTCGACATGTTGATGATGGAAGGGGCTTCGGCAGAATAGCAAAGTGAAACAAGAAAATGTAATGCTATCCCACAGGGTTTGCACAATGTAAGACCAATAGATGGGTATCCAAAGAATCATGTAGCTAGTTCGAACATCGCTGTAATTTATAGAAGGTGGTGAGCCGTTGACTTTTGCCAAGGGATGTGCCACTCTACCGGGCGTAGACCTCTTTCATCGGTGGGGCGTCCAACCCCTGCCTAGCGTACGTGGCACAGTTCCTTACCCCACGGCCAGAAGGAGTAGACTTCCGCGGAATGGTTACACATAGGGTCATAGGCTATAGCCGAGGCGTCAGCAATGCGTTCATCCTACCTGAAATGGCTTCTGCATGCTGCATCAGCTTCTACACCTCATCTGGGTTTTAGCAATTCACAAAACAACAAACATTGTTCAGCAATGGATTTAAGCCCAGTGCTTCCTCAGTTGGCCATGATGTGTGCGATTGATGATATCAGTTTATGTTATATTTGAATTTGGTTAACCGCCTACTTTCACCATGTCTTTTCGACTTGATACGGACGAAACTGACTACAACAATGTAATCGCCAAGTCATTCTTTGCGTCTCGACCCTGGTGGTATGATGAGCCTGTCATCAACTCCTGGGCCACGGACCAATCTGTCCACAAGGTTTTACATCATGTCAACAACCTCTACCAGCAGTGGCGACGGCAACCTGAGGGGCCCTTTTCTCCTTTTTCAGATTCCCTGTGGGCAGAAACTGCAAATGTGCAAAGGGATGCCGGACTCCCATGGCACAACAACAATCTGAACTTGCCCGAGGAAATTGATAAAAGCTGGCCTTTTCACTTCAAAGAGTTTGAGCGACATGTTGTGCTTGCCAAAGGCGCGCGTGTTGACGATTTCGATGCCGCTGGATACATCTGCAACTCGATAGAGGCAAACCAGTATGGGATTCGTGCTATTCAGCAAGAGCTCAGACGTCAGATGCCCAATAGTCAGCCGCTGCTCGTAGCTGGATGTATCGAACTGTCTGTGTCAGAGTCGGCTTCACATCTGTTTGGATTGGAGCTACTTCAACTGGACCGCCCATGGAAGCATGCCCGAGGCCTTCTGGAGGAACGAAGCAGGCCCAATCGTCCTATGATTGTGATTGCAAGCCTGGGAAATGGGCATGGGGAAATGGACGACTTCGAAGCCATTAGCGAACTTGCTAAGCAGTTACCCATCTACCTCCATGTCGATGCATCGCGTACTTTCGACTATCTCACGACTATGTCCACCGCAGACCGGAAACGTCTCGCATTGCCGCGTCTCGTTCTTCAACATCCTTTCGAGGATGTCAAATCTTATGATGATGCGGAACCTACAATAGTTGCAGCCACAATTGTCGGTGCAGGAACGAATAGTATATCACCGCCCCCTGCAGTGGTCCTCAAACCACGAACGCTTGGTACTCCTTCCGAGATGACGGTGGAGTACGTTAGGGGTACCGACAGTACCCTCGCAGGATCTCGTGACGCTCTTGGACCTCTTTTGATGTACCTGCAAGAGCTCCGCTTTGGATCGACTGGTATTCGCGAAGTGTATCGTCGTTGCATGTCAAACAGGGAGATGCTCCAGGAAGTCCTTCAACACTGTGAAATCAAGGCTGATGCACCGTCTGGTTCGCTCGATCTGATCATCGAGTGTCCCACTCGTTTGTGTGAGAGCACACGAACAGAGTTTGGGTTGAGACAGTTGACTAAGAGCTATATCTTATCACTCACAGCTTTCATTAGCAAACAAAACTCCTAGAC